AAATACCATTATGTACCCACTGTTACAGTATCACACAGAATTGCATCCTGTCCTAAAAACCACCCGTGTCTCACCTAATCACCACCCCCAAACCCTGATAGTCACTGATCTTTTTACCCTCTTTGTAGTTTTGCCTTTTCTAGAAAGTCATATAGCTGGAATCATACAGTGTGTAGCCATTTAAGACTGGCTTCTTTCACTTAGTAATATGCAATTAAGTCTCCTTCATGCCTTTTCATGGTTTTGATATGGCTTGATAGCTTATTTGTTTTCTTTTCTTTTTTTATAAATACTTTTGGTTGTTTTGTTTTTTTTTAGAACAGTTGTAGATTAACAGCAAAAACGAGCAGAAAGTACAAAGAGTTCCCCTATACCTCCTCCCCAACAAACACACAGCTGTACCAGTTATCAACAGCACATACCAGAATGGTGCCTTGTTACAATAAATGAACCTACATTGGCACATCATTATCACCCGAAGACCGCTAGGGTTCCCTGCTGGAACTATACTTTCTATGGATTTTGACACATGTATAATAATATGTATCTGCCATTATAGTATCATAAGGAATAGTTTCATTGCCCTAAAGATCCTCAGTACTCCACCTATTTATCTGTTCTTCTCCCCAACCCCTGGCAACCATAGTTTTGCCTATTTCCAGAATGTCATATAGCTGGAAACATACAGCCTTTTCAGATTGCTTCTTTCACTTAGTAGTATTTATTTTATAGTTTCTCCATGTCTTTTTATTGTTTGATAGCTCTTTTCTTTCTGGTGATAAATAATAATCCAGTGTCTATACATACCACAGTTTATTCATTCACCTGCTAAAGGACATCTTGGTTTCTTCCAAGTTTGGGTAATTATGAATAAAGCTGCTATAAACACCTGTGTTCAGGTTTTTGTGTGGACATAAGCAATCGACTCATTTGAGTAACTACCAAGGCATGAAGCTTGCTGGATTGTGTGTATGTGAGGGTATGTTTAGTTCTGTAAGAAGCTGCCAGACTGTCTTCCAAAGTGGCTGTACCATTCTGCATTCCCATCAGCAATGAATGAGAGTTCCTGCTGATCTACATTATAGTCAACCTTTGGTGTTTTCAGTGTTTTGGATTTGGACCATTGTAATAGGTGTGTAGTAGTTACTCATTGCTTTAATTTGCAATCCCCTAATATGATATGGAGCATCTTCTTGTATGTTTGTGTACTGTGCGTGTATCTTCTTTGGTGAGGTGTCTGTTCAGATTTTTTGGCCATTTTTTAAACTCGGTGCCATTTGTTTTTTTATTGCTGAGTTATGAGTTCTTTGTATATTTGGATATAGATCCTCTATCAGATATGTGTTTTTCAAATATCTTCTCCAAGTCTTTGGCTTCTCTTATTCTTAACAGTGTCTTTCACAGGGTAGAAGTTTTTAATTTTTTTTCAATCTTTTTATTTTTAAAAAAATTTTTAATAGTTTATTGTCAAGTTGGTTTCCATGTAACACCCAGTGCTCATCCCCACAAGCGCCGTCTTCCATGCCCGTCACCCCCCTTCCCCTCCAATCCACCCCCATCAGCCCTCAGTTTGTTCTCCTCATTCAAGAGTCTCTCATGGTTTGCCTCCCTCCCTCTCCCCCACTATTTTCCCCCTTCTTCTCCCCCATGGTCCTCTGTTAAGTTCCTCCTAATCCACCTACATGTGCAAACATATGGTATCTGTCCTTCTCTGCCTGATTTATTTTGCTCCCTAATTTTAATGAAATCCAACATCAATTTTCCTTTCATGAAACATAGTGTTTAAATGGCTAGGAAACAAGCCCTGAAGAGATCACTGGACTCTGGGAAGGAGCTTGAAAAATTTTGAGAGAGACATCATGAGTAGTCCTTCTAACATTTAGAGGTGACTTCCGGCTCTGCATCGGCCTGAACCATCAGCACCACTGTCTGTGGACCATTCCTGCCCCTCCATCAGCGCTCTGTACTGACCGTGCTGTTGCTTACGTCTTTCTGCATGTATAGACTTCATCAGTTTGAATTTTATGAGGACATATTTAGATTTAGTTTTTGGGTATGCCATTGCTCCTCAGTCCTTGATGATTTATTAAGTAAGTGATTTTCTGCAGCTAGCAAAGTATTCAAGTCTTTTTAGCAAAATTATGCAATCGATCCCATCTTTCTAACACAGAAGCAAACAACTGTCACTTATTTTTAAAAGATGGTAAGTTACTCTTTTTAAAGAAAAAAATTTTTGACTCTAACATAAGCGTGAAAATTCAAATTGGTAGTGACATTGTGAGGGAAAATAATACAAAAATAAATATTTATAACAGTTTGTGGACCTTTAGATGATCAGTAATTTTCCAAGTATCTTTGTTCAGCTGTAGATCCAGCTCTTTTTTATAAACCAATTTTGGTAATTGTCACTTATAGAATTTATCTTCTTAACCTCATAATACTGTGGTTTGCTTATTTGTAAACTATATTGCAGAATGTCTGACAGCCCATCATACATTAGTATTATTTCTTACTGTGCCTCAATGGGGGCTCCTTTAAGGCAGGAATCAATGGTATTCACAGCCCAGCCCAGAATTTTCTTCTTCTTTTTTTTAATGCTTATTTATTTTTGAGAGGGGAGGTGCAAAGAGAGAGGGAGAGAATCCCAACCAGGCTCCATGCTCAGTGCCGAACCCCTCATGGGGCTTGATCTCATGACAGCAAGATCATGACCTGAGCTGAAATCAAGAGCCAGACATTTAACTGCCTGAGCCACTCAGGCACCCCCAGCCCCAAATCTTCTATGTAGCAAGCCCCTATAAGTGCCTGTTGAATTAATTTGTTAAATCTTTACCCAGTAACATTTACCAAGTACTCAAGAGAATTATGGTTTTGAGAAGACATATTTATAAAAATTTTTTAAGATTTATTTAGTGAGAGTGTCTGCATGCATCGGGGGAAGGGGCAGAGAGAGAGGGAGAGCAAGAATCCCAAGCAGGCTCTGCACCGTCAGCATGGAGCCTGATGCGGGGGCTCGCACCCACAAACTGTGAGATCATGACTTGAGCTGAAGTCAAGAGTCAGACGCTCAACCAACTGAGCCACCCAGGCAGCCTATGAAAAATTGTTTTAAGTGAATAGCCTTCAGGAAAACAATCCCAAATATACCTGAAATGTTGAAATATAGAACAAAGGGGGAAGAAAAAAAGTATCTAATGATATCCAAGTATATGTTGAGCAGCATCGTTCTTCCTTTCCTCACAGACTCAGTGAAGAAGATGTAGGTTCAATTGCAATACATAAAATGGAGATTCAGGAAACACATAAGGAACCATTTTTTTGACTCCAAGATTCTTGGAAAGTTGGTAGAGGTAAGCAGAAAGTACAGCAGAAAGAGATACCATGGCCTCCTCTTAAGAGATGCAAAGCTGGGTTGACTTAGGTAAGCCCCGCACAGATGCTGGAGTCAGGGACAGCCAAGGGCAGCCGGTTTCCCACCCACGTGCTCTTGATCCTTGCACTTACAGATTAATGTGCAATAAACAAATCACTGATTGCAACAGAAGCTCAAATCAGTGCCTCCTGTTCCTCATAAGTCTAGTACGACCTGGTGAGTGGTAGGAACCTGCTACCTGGCTGCTCCAAGGGGCTTTCTACTTATTGGCTTGAGTGCCAGTTCTGAGACCTGGGCCCACTGTGGGCTCAAGAATGACCACAGAATGTTCTTACCTTAGGCTCTACATTGCCACCACCTGGGAAGCTTTACAAAAACATTGATGCCAGGGTCCCACTGCAGAGGGTTTTGATTTAATTGCTCTTCAGTGCAATTTCAGCAGAGATGCCTGTGTAACTTTTTATTGAAGTATATTATGCGTGTAGCAACGTGCACTGTCCTGAGTATACAGCACAGTGAATTTTTACAAACAGAATGTACCTGTGTCACTGGCACCCCGCTCACGAATCAGAACATCACAAGCTCTCCAGAAGCATGCAGACTCTTGTCCTCCAACTCACCCCACCCCCTTACTACTCTCCTCACTTCCAACAGCAGAGTTCGGGTACAGAGATTTTTTTTAAAAAATTTTTTTAAATGTTTATTTATTTTTTGAGATAGAGACAGAGTGCAAGCAGAGGAGGGGGAGAGAGAGAGAGGGAGACACAGAATCCGAAGCAGGCTCCAGGCTCTGTGCTCCATGCAGGGCTCGAACTTGCAAACCATGAAATCATGATCTGAGGTGCTGAGCCACCCACGTGCCCCTGGGTACAGAGACTTTAAGCTCCCTCAGATGACTCTGATGTACAGCCATGATCGAGAACCACGTCTTACTGGTTGAAGGTGGAGAAACAGGATGTAAGAAAACCAAATGCATGGATATAGGTAAAAGAAAATGAAAGCAAAGAAGACATTCAAGCTATGTTCTGCCTCAAGCCAGGCTGTCGCGTCTTGTGTCACATGTGGAAGCCCTATTGCACACCAGCAAGTCTCGAAGAATGAAAAAAGTTGTTGTTGTTTTTAAACAAAATCCTTCATTTATAAACAACTTTTCTCAGCAGGCATCTCTAAGTAAAGATACACCTGCCATCCCGAGGGGTGCCAGAGTCACATTTGCAGCTAATACTTTAAACGATGCATGGCATGCTTTCTACATGCCCAAGCCCCTCACTGAATGCTTCACACACTATCTCATTCAGTCCTCAGAACTCTCAATAGTAGTATATTATTTTATTTCCCCCATTTTACAGATTGAGCAAACTGAGGCATGAAGAGATGAAGTAAGTTGCCCAAGAGCACATGGTTCAGCGTAGCTTGTAGCACTTCTTGCTGTCTCTCTGCCTTGCTTTTATTTTAAATATCTTGCCAGCAAATCTCTGTTACTAAATACCTGGACAAAGATTCCTGGCACTCTGATTTCACTCTTTCAAGGTGCCATACAGTGAGGGGGGAGGGAAAATCACGGAAGTACTGTGTGAGCTGGCATGAACGTTCGTGAGCATTGTAGTTTTACCTCCTTCTTTTTCAGATGAGGAAATGGGCCAAGAAAGATTTTGGAGGCCTTAAGCTGAAGGAGAGAAAACTGGAGAGAGCCTGAACCCCTGGGGGGAAAGCCCAGGTAAGGAGGTCACTGGGCTGCAGGGCTTTGACTTGTTCTCTAAGTCACAGATGCACAAGTTTGTGACCTTTGTCAGTACCACTCTGCGGCTAGTGAGGTGATGTTGCTATTACCATTTAATCGAACATCCGTAGCAGAGTCACACGTGAATGTTGTTATTTGTGTAACTCTAAAAGTCTTTGTACAGCTAGCTTCCAACCTGGACGACACTTGGAACAGATGATCACCAAGCTATCTGACTTGGGAACTGGGTCCTCTCTGTTTCCCCAAGTTTGTTCAGTTTGTTTGTGTTTCACGGCGTATATGATTGCTCTTCTAGCACGTTTATCCTGGCAACGGAAGGGGGAGAGCGTGAGAGAGATCTTGTCAAGAAGTTTTCATGGAAAACTTGGTGTCACACATGTAAGCCTCATTTCTTGAGCACTTCCAGAAAGCAAAACACATCTCAGAAACTGTGGGGTTTGTTGCCTCTCTCTACTTCTCCTCTAAGATTGCTTTGGGTTTCTTGCTACCGTTCCTTTTATTTTATTTTTTTAATGTTTATTCATTTTGAAGAGACAGAGACAGAGCGTGAGCAGGGGAGGGGCAGAGAGAGAGGGAGATACAGAATCCGAAGCAGGCTCCAGGCTCTAAGCTGTCAGCACAGAGCCCCATGGGGAGCTTGAACCCACAGCTGTGAGATCATGAACTGAGCCAAAGTCGGGCGCTTAACGGACTGAGCCACCCAGGTGCCCCACTACTGTTCCTCTTAGATCTCTTTCCGGCCCTCACCCCTAGGGGTCTATCTCCGATCCCCGCATCCCTGGACCCTGCTTGTTGAGTTGCTCTGGTCTTTGGGCAGGAAACTCCCTTCGAGCCAGAGTGCTGGCTCTGTTGCTCTCTAATTTTTTTCAGAGCAAGTCTCCCGATATAAATAATACCCTCAATTACTTCTCTCTTCCTAGAGCAGTGAATCACATTCTGAGGAGTTGCTCGGGTGGGGACAGCTGGAGACACAGCCGGGAGGTGGGAGCCAGTGCCGGCTTGTCACCCTCCTTCTCTGTTTACCCGCCCAGAGGCCAAAGTGCCGCCTTGCCCTCAAGTCACCAGCAGCGGAAGTGCCTTCAGTGTCCACTCCTGCTACACCCCGTACTCTGCGGACCTATGTGAAGGGGGGCCGTGCTTCGGGGAACCGGCCTACACTTGGAGGCAAGAAGAAAAATTAGCTTCATTAGGATGGCCTGATACTTGACGGCTGTGGTAGATTACATCAGGCCCGCCGGTCTTTATCCTTCCCGCTGTCACTGCTCTCTGCCAGGAGATTCTGCAGCTCCTCCCACCAAGAGATGAGTGTTTTCTCGGACCCACTGAATCTGCCCGTGACACCTGCTTTGGCCAGTAGGCTGCTAGGAGATGGGATAAAGGCCGAGGCTTGAAAGCATGCTTGTGTGCTTGGGCTTGCTCTCCTGCATCTCTGCAATTTCCATGAGAGGAGCCTGCCTGGGCTACGCCACCGGGCCCAGGGGGGAGATGAGAGAGATTTCGGGCAGAGGGGCCCCAAGGCAGTTGCCCCAGTCTAGCCCTGCCCAGGACAGAGCTGTCCAGCTGCCCCTGAGGTGCGTGAGCAAACCCAGCCAAGATCAGTCTCTCTGCCTCCCCAGCGTCCCCATGAACTGCAGACGCAGGAGCTGGAGTAGGAAGTGACAGTTATTTTAAGCCTCTGAGTTTTGAGATGGTTGGTACCTAGCAATAGCGATGAGGCCATGCCCTCTGAGACTATTATGATTATATGAGAAACAAAAGCGCTTTGCAAATGTGAAGCCATGGAAAGTGAGCGGAGGGGAGAGGAGGGCTATTGAACGCAGAACCTGAAGATCAGAGTTAAAATCCACTCCCTTCCCCACTCTACTCTATAAACTTGGGTAGATCGTTTAACTTCTCTGGGTCTTACCATAAACTACAGAGCTGGCTTGCAGACGCAAAACTATGAGAGCTTGAGAAGATGCTGGAAAAGTAATATGGGTCCTAGAACTTCATTGGTAGAGGGTTAAGGAAGGGTTGGGGAAGGTGGTAGAGAGGTTCTGGGGGTATTTTAATTTGGTATAAATAAAACATTTTACCCAAATAAAAGGGAGAGATCCATTAAGTTGCGAATTGGATGATTTTCGAGAATATTTGGTGTTTGTTTTTTGGTTTTTTTGTTTTTGACAGAGAGAGAGAGAGAGGACGTGCACTGAAGCAAGCACGAGCAGGGGAGGGGCAAAGGGAAAGAGAGCCTTAAGCAGTCTCCATGCCTAGGGTGAGGCCTGACACACAGCCCAACTCAAGGTTCCATCTCACAAACCATAAGAGCATGAGCTGAGCTGAAATCAAGAGTCAGGCGCTTGACCAACTGAGCCACCCAGATGCCCCAAGAATGTGTTTGATCTAAGGCTGGGAGGTAGACTTGCGGCCCAGATAGTAAGTCTCATTTCCCCAGAGACCAAAGACGAGATCCTAAGAGTGTGGGATACATAAACAAGGGAGGGAAATGACCCTGAAAATGGGTTAGAGAAGGGGCTTTCCTGACAGCTTTTCAGTTGGAATAGAGCAAAACTGGGGACAATTACGGAGTCTTGGGTCCAATGGGGAGGTAGTCAGCCAGACAAGCAGGTAGATGTGGTGTGTGAGCTCCTTCCCTGACCACCTTTAACTTTTCTTGGTCGTTTATCATCTGACCTTTGACAAGGCATTTATCCTATGGACAAGTAGATGAAATACTGGTCATGTATTTGTTACGTATTGATTACACGTTATATTCCAGGAACTTCTGTGGACACTGGGGATGAAACCGTGAATAAGACATAGTTCCCGAGCTGGTTCGCGGCTCAGGCTAGATGGATTTTTTTTTTTTTTTAACATTGCCATTCATATCAAAACATGTAATACTAGATCCCTTTTCAGAGGGGAAAATTATAGCTCGGAGAGATTAAGCGGCTTGTTCAAAGTCAAACAACTTGTAAGAAAAAGATGAAAAATTACACCTTTGACCTTCTAACTGTGTTGTTTCTACTAAACTATGCTGAACAAACTATCCCTCCAGTTGTTTGTCTGATTTTATTTACAAAAATGTTACTTTTACACACTGTTTCAGGAGTACATCTCTGTGTATGAAATAGTTGGGTGCTTGGATATTGTTCCATGGAGAAGCTGTGTGATTTACAAGTCAAAGGATCAATTTCTCTTAGTTTCTAGGACTATGAAAGTAGATTTCTGTATTGAGTATGGACAAAGCTTAGGTGTACAAGAATAAAGGAATGGTTTAATCAAGTGTGGTTCTTTTGCTCAACGGATTCCTTTAAAAACATGAAATATGACGGGGATGTCTCAGACTTTATGGGTAAGAGTGTGAATTGTTACAGTTCTTCAAGGAGGACAATGGGAAAATATATTTCAAAACTACAAATGGATGTGCTTTTTGTTCTAACAGTTCTCACTGGAGGGGGTTGCTCTACAGAAATATTCACAGATGTACAAAATTATTCAAACAGCATTTTTCTAGGTAAATATTAGAAATAACCTAAATCCTCTTTTTTATTAATTTTTTAAAATTTATTTTTGAGGGAGAGAGAGACAGAGCGTGAGCTGGGGAGGGGCAGAGAGGGAGGGAGACACAGAACCTGAAGCAGGCTCCAGGCTCTGAGCTGTCAGCACAGAGCCTGACGTGGGGCTCGACCTTGTGAACCATGAGATCATGAACTGAGCCAAAGTTGGACGCCTAACCGACTGAGCCACACAAGTGCCCCTAAATCCTCTTAATGAATCTGTACCAACACTTATCCGTACCATGTATTATATGGAAGGTGCTCAGACATATTGTACAGGAGATATAAAATGATATATGAGAAGATTCCTCTCATCTCATACAGACTACTTGGGGTGTACACAATCTTTATATATAAGAGATAACTAACAATCAAAACATAATAAGATCAGAGAAAGAAGTTTGTGCTTGAGGGGCTCAGAAGTCTTCAGGAGAATTTCATTTGAGTTAGAGAAGGGTTTAGATACTACAAGAGGATTGTCGGGCACCTGGGTGGCTCAGTCAGTTGAACGTCCGACTTCGACTCAGGTCATGATCTCACGGTTTGTGGGTTCGAGCCCCGTGTTGGGCTCTGTGCTAACAGCTCAGAGCCTGGAGCCTGCTTCAAATTCCATGTCTCCCTCTTTCTCTGCCCCTCCCCTGCTCATGCTCGGTCTCCCTCTCTCTCTCAAAAATGAGTAAACATTACAAAAACATTAAAGCAAAAACAAAAAAACAGACAAAAAAAGGACAGGAGGATTGTGGGAGCTGACTGTGGGAGCCAGGCAGAGACTCTCTTAGCAGAGGCCGAGTCTGGAATAAGCAAGGCAAATTGGGGGCAAAGAGGACCTCTTTGGCGGAGATGGGAAGATGAGTTTAGAGAGTGACTCGGTGGTAAGACCAGAACGGTGGGTTGGAGCAACACTGAGGAGGACCTTGGATGCCAAGATAAAGATCTGGAATCTTGTTTAGGTATTTGAGCCAGGGGCAACACACACCAAACAACGTTTGGGGAAGTGTAATCTGGCCACCCGATGCCAAGTGGATTGTAGCAGAGCATGTCTGAGGTTAGGAAACGCCTGGGAACCTCAACAGGAGTCCAGGGATGAGGTAAAGACGCCCAATGTAGGTTGGTGGCTGGAAAAGTAGAAAAAGAGAGGCAGACACTAAGATGTTATTCCTCCACCTACCCTGCCTGGACATGACTTTGACATTCCCCTGGCAAGTCATAATTACTGGGACAGTTATTATCTTGGGTTTTACAGGTGTATAACGCAGCCGATTGTGTAAGTACCTGAGGGGTAAAGACGTTGTGTTCAGTTGCGTCTCTGCCTGTTTGTCTGCCGACTGTTAGGGATTGGAAACTAACGCGCAACCTGCTTTCCAGCACAGCCAGAGCTGCCCCTAGCTCGCCACGGGGAGAAAACCTAAACGTAAATCCACTTCCTGAAAGCAAGACTAAAGGGTAAAAGTAGTTCTTAAAAGG